AGTTTATGAAGTGCTTGTTCGCGCACGTCGCGCAACTACTATTAATGATCGTGACACACTGTATACGTGTAGGCTATACAGCTATACATACATACATAAAGAAATAACCTCTGGATCAAGGGCGTAAAGATGGTGGGTCTTAGTTTCGAAGATTTGTTTAAATTTCTATTTCTTTTGAAATGACCGAGTCTGGGGGAAAGACTACGCTCTATACCCATGTTGTTCCACAGGAATGAGATGGTGAGGTCTTAGTTTGAACATTTTTCATTTTTTTTAAATAACCGAGTGTAAAGTAAAGACTACGCTCTAATCCCATGCTTTATTACCCGGTCTTAATTTGGAACATGGAGGGGTCTTAGCAAGGGTGTCGATTTGTATCCGTGGTTGGGGGGGATGATAGGTGCCAAAATATTTTCGGCAATGGATCAAAGCAACCAAAGTGGTAGAAGCGTGTGGCAAGTTGCACCCCTCCCAAGCGCGTAGCCAGGATTTAATTTAAGGGGGGGCGGTAGTTAGCACACGAAGCGCGGTTCCTAGGGGGTTGGGTGCAGGGAGGGGGAGTCCCCCCCCCCCCCCCGCAAAGCGAGGAAGCTTTGACGTTTCACTAAATTATTAGAGAAAGAAGACGATTCGTTGGACCGTTCTCGACTCTTAATCCTTGTTTGAATTAAATTCTCCTTCCTCCGCGCGTAGCGCGGTAGCTCTGACGTTTCATTAGATTATTAAAGAAAGAAGACGATTCTATGTACCATTCTCGACTCTTATTCCTTGTTTGAATCAAGCTCCCCTTCCCCCGCGCGTAGCGCGGAAGCTCTGACGTTTCATTAGATTATTAAAGAAAGAAGACGATTCGATGTACCATTCTCGACTCTTAATCCTTGTTTGAATCAAGTTCCCCTTCCCCCGCGCGTAGCGCGGAAGCTCTGACGTTTCATTAGATTATTAAAGAAAGAAGACGATTCTATGTACCATTCTCGACTCTTAATCCTTGTCTGAATTCATTTTTACCCAATCCTGCGCGAAGCGCGGAAGCTTTCACATTTTATTACATTATTAGAGAAAGAAGACGATTTGTTGTATCGTGTCCTTCATGAATTCAGTTTCCCCCCTACCGCGCGAAGCGCGGAAGCTTTAATGTTTCAATAAATTATTACTCTTTATCCTTGTCTGTATTCACTTTCGCCCATTCCGCGCGTAGCGCGGAAGCTTTCACGTTTTATTAAATTATTAGTAAAAGAAGACGATTAGTTGTATCGTGTACTTTGACGTTTCATTTGATTATTACTCTTAATCCACGTCTGAATTCAGTTGCCCCCCTAACAGCTTTGCCCTGTTCGCTAAATTATTAGAGAAAGAAGACGATTCATTGTACTGTTCTCTATATTAATCCTTGTCTGAATTCAGTTTCCCAACTGAAAATAAGTTGTGACATAATAATCTTTCTCCAAAAATGAAAAATGTTTTAGGAAATATCAGGAAATAAAATGAGTGAAAAAAATAAAAATAAAGATACAATGACGTGAATTTTAAAAAGGGTGAACGGAAACAACATAACAACTAGTGAACTATTTTATAAGTCATACTAATGTCCGAAAATCTTTCTCTTTGTCTCCGATCTCATCACGAAATCGTCACAGAGTTCATCTATGTTTACACTGTCCAGGATTGTCTGATGTGCATTGCAGATTGCTACTTTTGTGCTTCGCGCTTAACATTTAGCTCGTTGCTTTTGATGCTGCGTCTTTGCATTTGGCGCACTGCATTTCTATGATATGCTGTTGATTGAACAAATTGAATAAATTCATCAATTCCTGATGAAGCCGTATGAGCGAGAATTCAATTTATTCTTGTCTCATATACGGTTGTCTTATTAACTTCGTATATAATGTATGTATTATGAAAATGAGATAGCAAAATGTGTATATTGATGGTCATCTTGCGAGTAATAACAATTAACTACTCTCATCGGACTCTCATCATTAATTTTTCTCTTCATTTAAAAAAATAATTTTATGGTGAATTATTGGGGGGGATGATTGTACAGGCCATCCCCCCCACCTGAAATATTGGGGGGGATATATCCCCCCCATCCCCCCCGGGATCGACACCCATGGGTCTTAGTTTAAAAGGTTTTTGTTTTGTTTGTTTGTTTGTTTGTTTGTTTTTTGTTTTTTAACTTGTGAATAACCGGGTCTGGAGGAAAGACTACGCTCAATACTCATGTTCTTCCACAGGAATAAGATGATGGGGTCTTAGTTTTGAAGATTTTTAAAAAGTTTTGAAATAACCGTGTCTGGAAGAAAAACTACGCTCTAAACCCATGCTTTATTACCGGGTCTTAGTTTGAAAGATGGTGGGGTCTTAGTTTAAAAGTTTTTTTTTTTTTTTTTTTTACTTTTGAATAACCGGGTCTGGAGGAATGACTACGCTCGATTCTCATGTTATTCCACAGGAAAAGGATTATAGGGTCTTAGTTTTGAAGATATTTTACATTTTTGAAATAACCGGGTCTGGAGTAAAAACTGCGCGCTATACCCATGCTTTATTACAGGGTTTTAGTTTTGAACAAATTCGACAAAATATCACTTCAATTTTATTACATTTTTCGGTAAAGTCATTATTACATTTTGTGGTTGATTCAAATTTATTACATTTGTGGGTAAAGTGGTTATTACATTTGTGGGTGAAATTATTACATTTGTGGGTGTTATTACATTTGTGGGTGTAACACCCCCCCCCCCCCCGCCCCTCCTTCAAGCGATGGGGGGATGGCCTGTATTTACGGGCCATTTATTTGTGGGTAAAGTGTTATTACATTTGTGGGCGTTATTACATTTGTGGGTGTAACACCCCCCCCCCCCCCCCCGCCCCTCCTTCAAGCGATGGGGGGATGGCCTGTATTTACGCCCCTGCTCTGGATTCTTCAGAGCTCATATCGTATTCTGCATGTCAACAAGATAAAGCGCTTGACTCTCATTATACGAGAGGTCCGATCATAGCTCAGTGCTTGTATTCTTGGACCGTCGGTGTTTTGTCGGTCAAATTGATCCTTTTCGACCCAGCTGTAGCCTAGAATTATGAGATGGGTACCCGGCAATGGCGGAGAACTTCATTGCAAGCCCGCAGGAAGAGCATTCATTATTAGTACTAATGTGGCTACCTTGGGTAAATAAGGCCAAATAAGTTATCATTGTTATTAAAATTAATGTGTGACTGGTAAATGCGACACAAACATGTCTTGTTTATCATTTTGTAAGAGGATTCTTGGCACAACCACCAAAAAAGATTATTCACAAATCGACAGAGGGGCGATGCCTTCCAAAGTTCGTCATCCAAATCAAAGAGATAAGATTTAATGATCGACCTAATTAGTTGAGAAAATGCATGCTCTAAAAATAGAAAGATTATCTCGAGAGTTTAGTGACCATAGGTAAACAAGTCTTCTGAAGCAATCGAAGAGTCCAAACTCCAAGTGTTCTTTCTAACCAATTTACTTTGTCTTGCCCTGCGCACACCTCTTCCTATAAACAGTTAATCTTAACCTCAATTAGATGTTATGTCTCGACATGAATAATGTTCATCGCAAATAAAACTTCGTTATATAGATCTATGATGAGCTTTGCATTATGTTAAGCCATGGAGGCCAGATTCATTTTGGACGGCTTTGATAGAATTATATTTCACTAAAATTGTAGTTCTTTGAGTGCAAATCATATTGTGTGGTATTTTAGGGTTTGTATTCACAGTTTAGATCGAATTTCACTTCACGAAAAGTGAGAAAAATTGGCGTCACAAAACGTCATTCCAATGAAAAGCTTTAAGATTGGACCTTCCTCGATACAGACGAAATAGTACGTCACATATCAGTACCACACCGTAGTAGGGAGAGGATAACTACACATATAAATTATATCATAAACAATAATGAAGCAAAGCCATGTAGGTATGAAAGACACATTGAAATGTACAGTTCAATGTTAGCCTCTAGTACTTTTCAGTTATTTCCTCTAGCTGAGAAGACTAGAATTATCAAATTGTCAATAAAAACAACATAAATCGAATACGTTTTGTTATACTGTCAATAAACAGCACAATACAGCACACAATGATAATCATTTATGAAGCAAAGCCATGAAGGTATAAGAAACACAAAATAATGTGGAATTGAAATGTATAAATCAATAATGTGGGCCTCCAGTACTTTAATGTTGTATAGTATATTGTTTGCTTGTCAATAAACAGCAACAAGAGAATGAAACACACATGCCTTCCCAGCTTTGTACATGCCACCATAAAGAAAAAACTCAGTTTCCTAGGTATAGTTGTCTGATAGGGGTATAGTCTTCCGGGGCAGTTGTCCACGGACAATATTATTGTCCGGGGGCAAATGTCTAAGGGTAGGTCTAGATGTCTACCTGTATAGGGATAATGCACGGTGGTCCAGTAAAGATATTCAATCTGACATTTGATTCGTTGATCTCCTTTTTCTATTTTGGTCGATGAGATTGATTGTTAATCTCGTGGACCAGGGGGGTGTTTCACAAAGATCTTAAGTAGAACTTAACACTAAGTTGGACTTAAAAATTATGGACAGCCATTGGAGCCTTAAAATGAAATATATTCAAAAGCAGAAATTCAAGTATTTTAGACTTTTTATAAATTCCACATCCAGAATATTACATCTCCTTGATGATAGAAGATATGAATGATTTGAATCAACATTTTATGCCTTTCAAAATAACTTTTACAAAATATTTTCAAAGAAGCTAATGGCTTTCCATAATTTTTAAGTCCAACTTAGAGATAAGTTCAACTTAAGATCTTTGTGAAACACCCCTGGACCTTTATCAATCAATGACACAGTTTAACACTCAAATAAACAGTTACTATTAACATCCCTTATCTCTAACTTAAAAACAAGTCAACCCCTGCACACTATACATCTGCATGACTCTATATACCGCACTTTGATTTTAATTTGATTCCTGAGGCCGGGAGCGATCTAAACTCTGAAGTTCAAGCGCAAACTATTGGTGATAAGATTCCTTTTTTGATGGATGTGAGGATGATTGGTTTTCAACCCGTGAAGTGTCTTCTAGTTGATTAGTGAGCAATCAAAGTTCACACAGACATACAATGCAAGAGACCTGCCAAGATTTTACATATTAAAATCAAAACATACTCGCAACGAGGTTCAAGACACTACCTGAACGGTGATACATGTGATTTGGATACCGCTTTAGGTAAGTAAGGTGATTAATGAATAATTATCTAGCATTAGTTGCATCGTTTAATTTCGAGAACATAACAATATCGATTGATTAAAATAAAATTAGGATGGGCTCAGAATGTATTACAATACATTTTATGCTTTCTTACTGTACTCCAACACCACCATTTTGATGACGTATACCATAAAGTGCTCAAATGATACTCATGCAGGAATGCGGGATGCTGTAATTCGAAAATGACTTGGCAAAGGTAATCATCGCCCGATATTCATAACCCAATCAGAATACGATCGTAAAGACTTTCGGAAATCAATCTAAGGCAATTTGAATAGACTATGACCGTTGTCCATCACCCGTTCAAATGTGCAAACGGTAATGAACATGGATTATGTGGCATATAATAAAATGAAACACGGTATTGGGTTGATTTATCAATAGTCTTTGCAACCGTGTTTCAATCAAAATTAGATACTAGATATTCATTAGAGAAGGAAAATGTTCTAGCTATTCAGGAAATTGCAATATATATTTTGACGCACGAGTTTATGCTTCCTCTAGCTAGCTGTATCATGTTAGTAATGGAAGACCTTCAAACAAGTCTGGATTTGTATATAGCTAAGATATAGAAGACTGTTCGAGAGTTTTCTACAAACTGTGATAGATATTTGGAAGTAGGCCTATAGCTGCTCATACAATTTCTGTCTCGCTCAACTGCAGGTGGATGATATCGCATCGTGACCTTCAAAATAGACTGGATTAAAAAAATATATATATAGCTGAAAGAACATTTTTCATTTTTGATCGAGAGTAAATTCGAGCATCGACCAGCATGTGCCAGCCGACCTTGACCAAGGTAGCCGTCACCGGTACCGTGGGCGCCATCTTCCTCATCCTAGGCTGCGTACTCATACCCATAGGAAACGACCTCATTGCGTACTTCGTCGAAGAGGTAGGCGATCTCGAAGCAATTAAACAATTATTGTTAGAGAGAGAGAGAGAGAGAGAGAGAGTAAGAGAGGGGGTGGTGAGAAATTGGAAGGGGAAGAGAAGGGAAGTGGGGCTAGTATTCTTTAAACGACTCTCTTTGTCGAACAATCTCGAATTGAAGTGACAGATGAGAGAGAGAGAGAGAAAGAGAGAGAGAGAGAGAAAGAGAGAGAGAGGGAGGGGAGAGAGAGAGAGAGAGAGAGAGAGAGAGAGAGAGTAAGAGAGGGGGTGGTGAGAAATTGGAAGGGGAAGAGAAGGGAATTGGGGCTAGTATTCTTTAAACGACTCTCTTTGTCGAACAATCTCGAAGTGAAGTGACAGATGAGAGAGAGAGAGAAAGAGAGAGAGAGAGAGAGAGGGGGGGAGGGAGAGAGAGAGAGAGAGAGATGAATGAGGGAGAGAGAGAGAGAGAGAGAGAGAGGAGGTAAAATAAACACAACAAAGAGGTCATATTAGAAGAAGAGTGTGGCACAGAAATCAAAGTACTTTTTGTTGTTTGGTCTAATCGGGGCGCTTTAAATATACATCACATCAATCATAAACTTATATTCTTTATTATAGGATGTGGCAATTCAGCCTGGTACTACAGCCTATGAGTCTTGGTTGAGACCTCCTACACCGGTCTACATGCAATTCTGGGTATGGGATCTCACTAACCCTGAAGAATTCCTTTCCGGAGGTGTACCTCACATGGAACAGATGGGACCATACACTTACGAGTAAGAATTGAATGTTCTTTTTATCAGCTCTATACGAGTGGAGTTGATACTGGGGTGGTAAAGGGGCACATGTCACCTAGTCAAGTAGAGTAAAATATTAAAAAAAGGTCACGGTGAAAGCAATGTGAAAAGACGATATTATACTCCTCACTCTACGGCCTTATTGGCTTGCATTTCATATACGTTCTATGACAGATGCCGCCTTCCCCGACACCATGACTGTATCCCCCTCCCTCCCTGTACCCCACACCTATCTCTTTTACTCTCAGTCTCTCTCTCTCTCTTTCTCTCTCTCTCTCTCTCTTTCTCTCTCACTCTCTTTCTCTTTTTTTTCATCTCCCAAGTTCTTTCTCATCGTTTTTTCCCCTCCCCCTCTGACTCCCCAAGTTGCTACTAAACGGCTCTGTGTCATGCTGAAGCCAGGACATTAATTCCATAGATAAAAGTTGCATTAATCATGTTAGTACAACATAGTGAAACAGATACTAGGACTATTTATGCGTCTTTTTAAGGGCAATCCAATCCAAAATCAGAGTAAAAGAATGGCGAAAGTTTGAAGAAAAAAATATGACCTTAATAATAAAGCTATGAATGTTTAAAATATGATATCACTACAACTATGCGAATGGCAAATTATTGGCAATTTCGTCAGTGGATTATGACATAGTGACGAATAACGTTGCCGTTTGTCTTGTATGTAATTATCACTAATTTCTGTTTTTCTCCCAAGTAAGTGGGAAAGTTGTCATTGCCGTGCAATTAGGGATTCAGCAAATTTGAAGTTCCCATACTTTTAGTGATTACAGCTTTTTATGCCTCCGCCACCGAAGGTGGTGCCGGAGGCATCATGTTTTCGGGTTGTCCGTCCGTACGTCCGTCCGTCCGTCCGTCCGTCCGTCCGTACGTCCGTCCGTCCGTCCGTACGTCCGTCCGTACGTCCGTCCCGTTTGACCGTTATCACAATATCTCAAGAACCATTTAAGATTTAAACTTAAGACTCGGGAATAGTATTTATCACCATAGGAAGACAATCTGATTAGATTTTGGAGTACGTAGGTCAAAGGTCACAGGTCACAGAGGTCAACTTATGAAATTCCTTGTATTGAGTTTGTTAGCGCGATATCTCAAGAACCATTTGAGATTTAAACTTCAAACTTAAGGATAGTATGTATCACCATAGGAAGACGATCTGATTAGATTTTGGAGCACGTATGTCAAAGGTCAAGGGTCACAGAGGTCAACTTATGAAATTCCATACATTGAGATTGTTATCATGATATCTCAAGAACCACTGGAGATTTAAACTTCAAACTTGGTGATAGTGTGTATCACTATAGGAAAACAATCTGATTACATTTTGGAGCACGTAGGTCAAAGGTCAAGGGTCATAGAGGTCAACTTATGAAATTCCATACATTGAGATTGTTATCATATCTCAAGAACCACTGGAGATGTAAAAACTTCAAACTTAAGGATAGTATGTATCACCATAGGAAGACGATCTGATTAGATTTTAGAGCACGTAGGTCAAAGGTCAAGGGTCACAGAGGTCAACTTATGAAATTCCATACATTGAGATTGTTATCATAATATCTCAAGAACCACTGGAGATTTAAACTTCAAACTTAATGATAGTGTGTATCACCATAAGAAGACAATCTGATTAGATTTTGGAGCACGTAGGTCAAAGGTCAAAGGCCACAGCGCACATTATGAATGCAAAAACAGCTTGTGATCGCGTTATCTCAAGAACCGATTGATGGATTCATGCCAAAATTAGGTCATGTTTGTTACTTGCAGAGCCAATGAACTGAGTAGATTCTTGGTTCATAAGGTCAAAGGTCAAAGGTCATGGGCCCATTATGTATGCAAAAATAGCTTGTGAACGCATTCTCATTAGAACTGACAGATGGATTACTATTTAACTCAGAACATCTTGCAGAGCCAATGAACTGAGTAGATTTTATGGTCATGAGGTCAAAGATCAAAGGGTCATATATGTATATGAGAAATTGCTTGTAATCACAATATTCTGAGAACCTGTCAATGGATTACCATTGAACGTGAATTCAATTTTTTTTCTTCTGTTTTGGTTTGTAAAATTGCTCTATAACGGAGGCATCATTTTCGACTGCGCGCAGTCGAATTCCATCTAGTTTTTTTTTAAATCATAACTTTCTTATTTCTCGATCAGATTCATTAGACTGCCTCTGGTTTCTCTGCTTTCTTTAGAGTTGTTCGTTATTAAGGTTGAATTTCTCTTTAATCCTCTTCAGAGAGCTTCGAGATAAGGACAACATCACCTTCAATCCAAACTCCACAGTCTCCTTCAGCCCAAAGACTACCTATATTTTCAGACGAGAATTATCCGCTGGACCTGATACAGACACTTTCAGGACAGTCAATCTTCCAGCTATTGTAAGTTCAAATTCTAAATGGAATTAATAACTTGGTTTGAGAGCAGAAGGAAATTAAAAGACAGAAGCAAAAAAATGATGATATCATGTTTATAATCTTAAGAACAGGTTTCGTAGTAGATAAAGTGGCGTATCCAAAAACTAATAAAGTGCGGTGGAATTCTTTCCAGGAAGGTAGAGGCATTCTTAGTGTCTGTGCAGACACGCTTTAGTGTAGACCTATTTCAGGTTTGGTTTGTTCCCATGGGCTCTCAAACAAGGAAGGGGGATCTTATATTAACTTCAATCATTGCTAGAAACGCCACTGGATAGGTATCGACACGTTATCGAAATTAAATCTTCAACCTATATCAGCTGGAGGCGCAACAACATATGGAAGGAGGAAGGTGGGGGTTAATCTGCAATTCTGGGCCCTGTTTCATAACGATTGTTATCAATAACAAGTTACAAAAACTGTTTTACAAGCTTCTGAAATCGTGGTATCTGATTGGCTGAGAGCAAATTTGCCATAGAAAGTTAGCATTTGTTATCGATAACAAGTTTTATTAAATAGGGTCCTGTACCTTTAATTACACAAGTAAAATGGGCTCAAAATGGCAAGTGGCCAGCAGTACTGTGTTTCCAATCAAGTCATTGATATGCATGATGACTTCTCTTTACCCCCCCTGGTCCTTACCCAAACAGGTGTATAACGGGTACCTGAGGGAATGTGAACGTTCTTGTGGTCACTTTCATTGCTCATTTGTTATTGGAGGTTAATTAATCATGTGAGATGTAATTTTTGAAAAGGTGATTTAACTTATACGAGATTGATTGATTTTTATTCGACAAGCTTCCAATATACAACAATATACAATAATAACAGATCAAAAATAAGTCAGCTTGAACAGGATAACCCACGAAAGCTCGAGAGCTTATTTCCAGTGGGGTCCCTTACAGACATGTATACAATTAATAAATTAAAATAGTAATATTTACAGACAGATAAGAAAATTAAAAGAACTACTTATTAAAGATAATAATAACAACATTAAACTGATGATAGAAATGATATTAAGTACAAGAAGAAAAAGAAGAAGGAGAAGAAGAAAAAGAGGAGAAGGAAGAAGAGGAAAATAAGAGGGAATTGAAGTTGAAAACATGACAATAAACCGAGAGGCTATGTATTTGCAAATACAATCCTTCACTGCCAATATTATCACTGTTGTAATATCACATTTTGCATGTTTTTATATATGCATTATATTTAATACATAGGCCTATAGATTTTTAAGGGTTGAATCACACTCCGGATCCAAAATGTATTATATTTGTTTTCCCTAATGAAGGTTTAACTCATTTTTAATTATGCGAATGTGGTACATGTACATGTATCTCTATATTTGTCACATAATCCTGCAACACTGGTTGCATCTGGTTTGGATAATAATGTAGGCGAGGGCGGTCTGCGGACTACAGTTATTTGGTTAACTTTGCCCAAAGCCTGGCAGCACAGTGTTCTGATTTGCAATTAATTAATTATTGTAATTTCTGTACTGTTATATTGTGCTTTCTGTCAAATTAAATAATGATAATAATAATCGTTATTGGTGAATAGGCTATATAGGCCTACAATCATTTTGTAATATACGGGACGTTCTCCATCTCCATCTTAAACCTATCTGTATCCTACAGACATTAGCTAACCTGTTTAGGGTTGACCCTAGACTACAGGCCCTTCAGTACCTCCTGAACGAGCTTTCAGGGGCTACTACGGTGATTGAGATACCTGTAGCGGGGATGCTCTGGGGGTATGAGGATGCCTATCTCAAGGCTCTGGAGCCGCGCCTTGGCAATGTCAGCACTGAATTTGGAATCTTCATGGGTGTGAGTATAAACTCGAAAGAGGCTTTACATCGTTTGGTTATAAACGTTTGAAGTGCTTATAATATATTAGATCTAAAATATGGTAATATACTCATCATCATTATTATAATTTCCGTCACCATCATCCTCATCATCTGATGATGATGAGGATGATGGTGATGATTCATCACCATCACCATAACCATCACCATCACCATCACCATAACATCACCATCACCATCATCATCTCCATCACCATCATCACCACCGGCATCATGATCCACATCCTCATCAATATCATCATAATCATCACCACTACCTAGTACCATCATCATCATCACCGTCATCATCACCATCACCATCACCATCACCATCATCACCACCGGCATCATGATCCACATCCTCATCAATATCATCATAATCATCCCAACTACCTAGTACCATCATCATCATCACCGTCATCATCACCATCACCATCACCATCACCATCACCATCATCACCACCAGCATCATGATCCTCGTCCTCATCAATATCATCATAATCATCCCAACTACCTAGTACCATCATCACCATCACCGTCATCATCATTATCACCATCACCATCACCATCACCATAACATCACCATCATCATCACCATCACCATCATCATCACCATCACCATCATCACCACCAGCATCGAGATCCACATCCTCATCAATATCATCATAATCATCACCACTACCTAGTACCATCATCACCATCACCGTCATCATCACCATCACCATCACCATCATCACCACCAGCATCGAGATCCACATCCTCATCAATATCATCATAATCATCCCATCTACCTAGTACCATCATCACCATCACCGTCATCATCACCATCACCATCACCATCATCACCACCGGCATCATGATCCACATCCTCATCAATATCATCATAATCATCCCAACTACCTAGTACCATCATCATCATCACCGTCATCATCATTATCACCATCACCATCACCATCACCATAACATCACCATCATCATCACCATCATCACCACCAGCATCGAGATCCACATCCTCATCAATATCATCATAATCATCCCATCTACCTAGTACCATCATCACCATCACCGTCATCATCACCATCACCATCACCATCATCACCACCAGCATCATGATCCTCGTCCTCATCAATATCATTATAATCATCACCACTACCTAGTACCATCATCACCATCACCATCACCATCACCATCATCACCACCAGCATCATGATCCTCGTCCTCATTAATATCATTATAATCATCCCATCTACCTAGTACCATCATCACCATCACCGTCATCATCACCATCACCATCACCATCATCACCACCAGCATCATGATCCTCGTCCTCATCAATATCATTATAATCATCACCACTACTATAGTACCATCATCACCATCATCATCATCATCATCATCATCATCATCATCATCATCATCATCATCATCATCACAATCTTAGTTTGTTGCAGTAACAATATTTACCAGTTAAAACGAAAAATCTGCTTCAAACCCATTGAAAAAATATCGCAGAGGCGCAACACCCTCAGGGGTACACAATGAATTTGAAGATGTTACACTTCTGAAGAATCTTTAGATGGGATTTTGTATATTACATTGAGTTTTGAACCCTTTAAAAGAAATATTGCATACCCTATAGGGTTCTCAACTTTTCAGAATATATGGGGTTGATATTTGCATCTTTACAGCATTTGAAGTGTTCAAAGTTGAAATTCGTCTTACTTTGTAGGTAGATCTCTATATTACACAATGGATATTACTTTCATTTTGACTAGACCAACGCGACAGGGGAAGCTATATGGACGGTGAACACGGGAAAGGCTGACATCAGTCAGCTAGGTGAGGTCGAAGCTTACGATGGAATGACGTCACTCGAATGGTGGTCCGATGAATACGCCAATATGATCAATGGAACAGGTGAGTAACATGAGGTCTCGTGGTGTAGTGGTTCGTGTACTAAAGAGTTGAGGGTTCGAACCCCAGCCCGGCGCTAACGTAATTGACGAGTCATTAATCCACGTTTGCCACTGTCCACCTAGGTGTAATAATTTGGTACTTGGCAATTGCACTCGAAGATAAACACGAAATGAAAAGACATTGGGATCTTTGATGTGGGGTTTTCATAAAGTAATTTCTCTTCACCTGATTTCCAAATCTTTTGATAAATTTAAACGAAAGTATGTTTCTGATGGCCTTTTTGGTCAAGCTAGCAGAGATATAGAAGCTAAAAGTAAGCTAAAATCAAATAATTATTAAACAATAAGAAAAGTCCTAAACAGTGGTTTGAAAGCAATGCTAGGTCTATATGTATCTTTGTTTTACTTTCTTATGACAGATGGAACCGCTTTCCGACCGTTCCTCACGCCAGATGATCAGCTCTATGTCTTTGTAGATGACCTTTGCAGGTAAGTAGAATGCACAAACGGTTGCCATATCTACTATAGAGACATGATGGGAAAAATGAGATTTGCTAAGCCGTTTGGGAAGAAACACTTATCTGATTCAATTCTTCATTTGGAATTGTACACCTGTCTCATCCCCCCTCGGAACGATTTTCTTAATTTGACATCACTTTCTGTTTATAGACTTAATAGCTATTTTTGGTAGAATTCCCTCGATCTTGTGCAATTTCGAAGCCGTCAGATAATTTTTTGTTTTTAATTTCGTAACTTTATTCAAAAATGTGTAATCATTTGACACATTCTTCATTTTCTTCCTTTTATTTCAGATCCGGGTTTCTCTCATACGATTATTCGGGTAAAATTCGAGGTGTTCCTGTCTCGCATTTTTCGGTTCCGGCTCTACTCTATGCCAACGTTTCTTACTATCCGGATAACCAAGGCTTCTGTACCCCAGCGGGTAACTCGCCCTGCGTACCAAACGGTCTCCTCAATGTCTCAAACTGTCAAGGTAAGCACGATTGTTGTATGCATGTTGCACACGGGGTGTCATTTTGGTGACGTAGGTCTGCGTCATACTGACACGGCCTTTGACGCACTATGAGACATCATACAACAAATTCAATGCAACATTGTTGTACGTTCATATTCAATCAATTCATTTTATACGGAACGCAGAATATTGATTGTCAATGTAAGCGCAAGATTACATACATGACAGCTCAGTTAGATTTACATTCATTGTGCTCTATAGATTCCATAAAAAGGACGAACAGATACGAACAGTAATAATGGTATAAATATAAAACAAAACATGTTCTTTCCCATCTAGCTGGCAACGCACCGATCTACTTCTCATCGCCACATTTTCTCTTCGGCGACCCGTCACTCTTCGCTGCAGTCAGCGGAATGAATCCGGTCAGATCAGAGCACGAAACCTCATTCGACGTCGAAATGGTAATAGTAATATAATAGCCCTAAAAGTAATAATATACCATACTTATTATAGCGCATATCACAATATGTCCCTATGCGCTGTAATGGAGAGAATGAAAGAAAGGGTAGAGAAAACTGAAATAACTATACTTCCTTCAGTTATTAGTTTTTTCTTCTAAAAGGAAATTGTTTTTAAAGACGTGTTTTTTTAATTTTTCATCAGTATCACAATTTATATATATTCTTACAATTTATTCAAAAGCTCTGCTGAAGCAAGCTGAAAAGAGCGTGACTCGTAGACGGTAGACCTTTGTATTTATTTGAGAGATAGTAAGAAGAGATTTTTTTTTTTTTGGGGGGGGGGGGGAGACGTATCTTGCGTAGACATTTAACGGGACCTCGTTACAAGCCATGCAGCATAATGTTATTTTCTTTTTTTTTTGTTCTCGTTTTAAGTGATTGACAAACAACAATTAAATAAAATTAGAATCAAGATAGAACGGGTGAAATAAAAGTCAATTAAACCTTCATTTACGAAAATGTATAGTAAGTTTACCATTCCTTTTTGCCAGTATTTGGGATTCTTTGAATTCGGTAGGCTAGACGGTGGCAAAACTTTAGTGTAGACGATAACCAGACCTGCGTGGGATAACAACTTGTCTTTGCAGCTTGTAGAATTATGAAGGGTAGCGACTTGGGGCGGGGTGCCCTTCAGTCAAAACATCTTTCAAAGTATATAGAGACTGCAATTGTTAAAATCCTGGTGCTGCCCCTGAAAAATTGCGTTCAAACATTTTTTTTTTTTGGTTTTTTTTACAAAGTGCAAATAAAATGATAATAATAATAATAATAATAATAATAATAATAATAATAATAATAATAATAACAATAATAATATAATCAAGGGACACGTGACCAGAGGTAGATCCGGGGTTGTCTGAAGGTGAGGGGGGGGGGGATTTTTGAAAACCGCGAAAGTCGACGATACCATACTATTGTAACATACAGCAATTAGGTCAATTTTCGTTTCGAAAGAGACATGTCCCTGGTTTCAATAAAGATACCGATGTTGACACTGTTTCCTTATGTGGTATGCTTGATGATACAGCTTAATGTGACCTTTTAATCTTATGTCATTCTCTATACTATTCAGTTGACTGGAATTGCGTTTCAAGTGATGAATCGTCTTCAAGTAAACGTGAAAGTTGGTCCCATGTTGCAAATGGCGTAAGTAACAACTTCTTATTTTCCTCTCGCTTTGTGATGTTGTAACTTTACTTGCCCATTATAGCAACAATGTAGAGGCGCGATAGCTCAGTTAGTAGAATAGTGGTCTCGTAATCCGGCTACCCGGGTTCGAAACCAAGGCGATGCGCTAGTGCCCTTTGGTAAGGAATTAATCCTCATTACCAGGTCTCTCGGAGATTACCTAAAGCCGTCGGTCCTCTTGTTGCTTACTAACAAAATTATTATGCTTTCTTAGCAGTCAGGTAAAATAACCACCACTACATTAAGTACATGTATGTCTAAGCCAAGCACATTCTAACTACAGACATGACAGATAGAACCAAGTAACTGTAATTTTGAGAGTAACCTGGTAGTGGTAGAACTACATGTACCATACCTCGTATGTCAACTAATGATTAGTAGAATGGAACTGTTGATTATCATAATATAACATAGATTGAATTGAATCTAGGTATTTAAAGTAAATTTAACTTTTTACCAATATCAGCTACTGTGGATATCGAGAGAGCCTTTTTCATATAAATCCTCAGGTTTATTCTCCTCATGATGATGATTCAAATCAACTTCAGTTTAATTCTTGACATTATACCTCAGTCCTTATGTTTTGAAATAATTATAGTTATGTGTCTTTTTTCTTTAAATACAGAGATGCTAGAATGGTGAACGAAGCTTACTTTCCAATTCTATGGCTGAATGAGGTAATATCACATTAATTTGTGTGGTTTGAACTTTGAAGCATAGTTGGGACAAAAGTCTATAATTTATGATACCAGAATTAACATGTCGTTTAAATTTGCAAGATTGAAACTGTTGGAGCATGGGTGGGGCGTGCGGGCACGCGTCCCCTACTCGAATAGGAACCAAAATGAGAGCGAGAGGAGAGATGAAGGAAAGGAAAAAAGAACCTGAGATAATATTTATAAGGAGACAGTTTGCTCGAAAATGCTCTTCAAAGATTATACTACTATGTGAATCAGTAACGTGGGAACAAATAAAATCTGTTGTAAGAGGTGCATTAAACGATTATCGGAAAATGCTTTAATTTCGGGTGATCTGATCTGCGTCCTTGATGCAGTGAACAACAGAGAAGAAAGGGAAATTGATATAATTATATAAGATTACATTTGCCCTGAATAAAACAAAATTATTTAGATAAAATACACACATTTTTCACTTTTCGCTACTATATTTTCGTCAAATTTCATCTCCAGGATTCATTGGTAGATCTTCTTTCTTTTCTTGTTTTATTGTCTGTCCTTTTCCTGTTCGTCTAATCCTCCTTTCTTTCTCCTTTTTTCTTCTTCTTTAATTATTATTTTCATCTCCCAATTCTTTCTTCTTTCTTCTATATCTTCCATCGACATTTCAAAATATCAGTCATAATCGCTCTTTACTTTAACATGTATGAACAACAAGGAGAGAAATGTGAAAGTATTCTGTTTTGTTTGAGTTAAGGAAAGACTTAATTTCATTGAATCGTAAATGTTCGTTTGACTCAATAAAATAGCCTATGGAGGGCTAAAACGTTTTTTTTTTTTTTAAATCGCTCTTTACTTTTCTCTCTCTCTCTCAAGTCTTCGACAATCGACAAATACAATGCAGATTTCTTCATATCAGACGTGTTGGTACCTCAGTACATTCTTCTCGGCCTCATCGTCGTCTTCATAGCTGTCGGCGGCGGTCTCTTCGTCGGTGCCGCGCTGACGTTCGTCGTCGTCCAGTATAAGAAGCAGAAATATAGAACAGTAAGGGTATCTCATGAACTAATGCTAGATGCATGGGAGAGTGATCATGGGGGCTAGGGCGGTGCAAGGGGGATTTAACGGGAGGACTAGGACACGGTCTAAAACAAAATAGCAACGGAAACGAATGAATGAAAAAAACGAATCAATTAGTTGATTAATCAATAATTAGATAAATAAATAAATAAATGAATAAATAAATAAACAATAATCAAATAGATAGGTAGATAGATAGATAGACATACAGATTGGTTGATAGTAAAACAGATACAATAATACAAAATGAAAAGGAGGGAAATTTTGCATTTACTGGAAACAACACATGTCTTCTTAGTCTCTATCAAAAGAATTATAATCGAGATTATAGAAGGTTGTAATTGTTTTCCCATGTTAGGAAAATGATACTGGATGATCCCTCTACGCATTGCATACAAATTTGTAATATTTTGTTGTCTGTCTTCCATGTGTTTAGACTAAATCAAGCACGAAGGAGGATCTTATGAAGTCATAGTGCAACGTCGACATCGATACACCGACATCAACCACGGCGTCGACATAACGTGCCATATTCTGAAAACCATGTCATCTTTCATAATAATGCACTGATGTTAATTATCATAACAAACTGAATAAGAGCATCGATGGATCCAGGTTTATTCCTTAGGGACATAAACAAGACCCCGCCTCCTTTTCTCTGTACTGTGTAATATATTTTAAAAACTTCTCATTTTCTTTGCTTCCCATTAGTTTTCTTATTCTCTTGCGTGAATTCATACATCATCACAGTAGACAGTATTTTCTGTACATAGGTAGAATTTAGACATTTTATGAAAGATCAGAACAAAGATACAGTGAAGGTTATTATAAGAAAGGAAACGCGATGGCTCAGTGGTAGAGCAGAGGTCTCGTACCCGGGAGGTCCCGGGTTCGAAACCAGGTCGATGCGCTAGTGCCGTTTAGTACAGCTCTTTATTCTGAGGAGTGGGTGATGAAAGCTTATAATGCCCTTGCTGCCTTAGTTCAAAGCTGTTAGTGATTTTGTAGTACCAATCATCTCTTGTTTTAGATGTACATGTAGTCAGTATTTTTGCTCATTGCTTGTAAATGTTTTTTAATGTTTTTTCTTTCTGCTTTACTGAGTAAATTACTGGTGTCTCGTTTTTTTGTTGATAAGTAACCGTGATATAGACTTATAGCTCATACCTCATGTAATGATCATGCATGCCACAGACTTATGTCACCTCCATGAACAAATTTGCAAAATCACAAAGCTCGAACAACTTTATGTCAAATGCAAAATCAAAAAAAGGAAAACATTTCTGGTAATTATAATTTTCAGTTCGAAATTCCGTGGTCTAAAAAAAAAGGGAACATTTATAATGCAGTGCATGGGTGATTTGGACCAGCAAAATAAAGGTAGTTTGTATTTCCTGTTTTACCCAATCTTAAGTTGTTGTTTTTTAAGGTGATTTATTTTTTAGTTTCATTTTGCTATACATGTAGCCGTGCATTTTTCCAAATACGGAAACATGAGAAGAAATCGCAGAAGAGTTTATAGAGTGAAAAAGGAAAGAAGGGACTTAAATGATTAAAAACATAGTGTCATATAATTATACAGAGTGTTGATATAATGTATTTTTAGGTACTTCTTTCAGTAAGCGATTAACATAAAGGAAGTATTTACACAAAACCCACATATTTCCACAATTTATATGATAATATGTTTGTAATCATCTTTGTCAGGGACATGTTCGAGGCTAATCGAAATGTTAGTCTGTAATTAAATTGCACAGTTTATAAATGGTCGCCCATTTGGTTCCTTTCCTGAGGCCGCCATTTAGTTCAAGCTCTATAGCTTAAGATGGCGGTCTCCCGAGGTTTTCATTTTTGAAATGATTCATAAACTTTTTTTTTTTTAAAGGTATAATTATTGAATTGATTTATATTATGATATGATTATAAATACATTTAAAATATTGTCAATGATATATAATGTACCTATAGTTTGTACATTACTTTTGAAAAATGCAGAAATAAAATCAAACAAACAAACTATAATGTTCTGAAATGTATCAATAAAATGCGCGAGAATGTAAAAAATAACTACCGTCTTGTTTGAATAGTTTTGCTTACTATTGATTCATCATTGGCTGTGAATACCCATTTTATTAATTCATAATCAAACACGTTCGAACATGGCCAAGCAGAAAATGAAGACACATCTTATCGATTATGTAATCTGAATTTTAGTTGATTTTTTAATCAAAACTGAGAGCATCCCCCCCCCCCCAAAAAAAAAGGTCGAGATGAACTGAGATTTCTTGCAACTGTATACTAATCTAAGCGTTTTTGATCTAAAAAGGGCTTCTGTGCAGACAGTATTTTTTCTTTTTTGCATTATATATTTCCATCAATGTGTACTTAGATGAAGTACTTCTGGTCATTTTCTTCCCGAATTATGCTGTCTTGATACAAGTTTAAAAAACTGACGGAATACAATTTTAATTTTAAAAGTAAAAATATCCTGTGGCGTATCTAGTATTGCATAGAGCAGCTCCCCCACCCCCCCCCCAAATGAAAGTCTCGTGTAATTTCTTCGCTTGAGGTGGACATAACGAGGTTGTTGTAGTAAAGCAGATAGCGGTCTCGCCATCGGGAGTCCTCAGGTTCGAAACCAAGTCGATGCGTCGAAGTGCCATTCGGTTAGGCATAAATTCTTCAGTTTCTATTTCGAAAAGGTCCGGAATTCCTTTTTTCCACTTGATATCCTTTTAGGCAGGCACAACGATTACATCGATTTCGTTCATCACATAAGTATAATGTTCAAGATAGCGCCATCTCCCAATTTTTCCCTCCTTTTACTCTGAACAGTTCTTTTCCCATAGAGCCTCCCTTTGTCCCTCTAGATCAAATTTTGTTTCATTCTCGTGAGATTCCTCCTGCTACGAGGAATCTATGCCTTTACACCACATTATTTTGACGTTTCGGATGGCTGTCATCAGTCTGGTTTGCATGTATTGAATCCCCTCTCCTTCCGCACCAACCTCATTCTTTGTATTATTCTCATCAGAGGGCACTGACGTCATGGTTGGGGGGGGGGGCAAATACTGGTACTAGTTCAGTCAGCGTTTATGGGACAGCATGAGAGAGGGTCCTATCATCTTTTCACGTTCCCTCTCCGCAATTTATTTATTTTCCCCTTTTGGCCAGTTTATGAGCACACAAGCTCCTCGTACACTCCTGTATCTATGCCATCGAATTTCAATTGATCCTTCATTTATGTCGTGATTCTTAACATGGTTAACATGAATCACTATTTTTCTAATAATATATTAGTCATCCCATTTAAAGTAAATATACCGATGTACATATTTTGAGCAGGATTAATAAGTCAATTTTGTTGACAGAGTGATTTAATGTGCCGACAAAACCTTTAAACACCAGTCATGAAATGGAAGGGAATGCCCCCTCAATCTGTCTTTCTTCGCGGTAACCATAGTAATGCTGATACCAACTATCTCACTCATTCTCTGTGTTTTCCGTCCAAATCGCTACGACAAATTGGTCAATAATTATTTTTCCTCCCCCATCCTACCTCAGTGCCCATCTTCCCCAAAACACTTTTTTGTTGTTGATGTGTTCACCCGGTTTCCCCATGACCTTCCCTTCCCCTGCTTTACGCTCGGCGATACCCCTCACCAGGTACCCCCATCAAGAAGCGTCTGTCGCTCTCGACGTTGGCGCTACCCCCGACTGAGGCCGATCGCTGGTGCAATGTGAAGGTAGTCGTCGCCGTCTTCTCTTCGTCGGTTTAGGAGAAGAGTTTGCCTCGGTCGAAGGTCGAAATCATTTAGAAGTCGATGGTATTGGTTCGACACAGGAAACGACTCGGGCATCGATCAGGACATCGATCAGGACATGATGTTATTATACTATTTTGTCCATCATCCACAAGACCTGCAGAGATTTGTTTGAAAAGATGATAAAAGGGATGATGTGAAGCTTTCATTTCCCAGACAGTGTCTCTATTAACCTCTCATGGAGGACAATAACGGGTATGTTTGCACCTCGAAAACATAATTTCTTCATCACGGAAGGGTTGATTAAACCAGTAAATATTATTTAAAAATGAGTTGAATATGACACTATTTATGTTAAAGAACAATCCACCCGATTTTAAGGCAAAATGTAGGCATACCAAGCAAAAGGCTTAAATTTGATGATAAATTAGGCCTAAGAGGAAGATCACATGAGAAGAGGGGCATTGTATACCTAATCAATATAATACCATATGCGAACGATACTTACAGATTTATTATATGTCTTAATTGTCCACTCTTGAAAAGGTGAGAACATTGTATGTTTGCTGGATTTTCCTCGTAGCTCCCATCCCATATAAATACTCTTCTATCGTCACGTCAGTTCATCATCGAACGCCACTCACTGGCCCGTGGTCATCCTCCTCCTCGATCTCAGATCATCCACATACTTCTTGACCACATCCATGGCGGGGCGGTGCATTGCTTCAACGTTCAAACACAGCCTCGAGATGACATCAAGAGAAACCACAGCCTTACGCTGGGCGATGTCCCTCATCAGGTACCCCAGCGAGAAGACGTCTGTCGCTTTTGAGGTCGGCGCTCCCCCGAGGACGATCTCGGGTGCGATGTGGAGATAGTCGTCGCCCATCATGTAGAGCGTCTTCTCTTCGTCAGGGAAGGAAAAAAGTTTACCTCGGTCGAAGGTCGAAATCATTCCGAAGTCGATGATTTTGGCTGCCCATCGTAGACGTCGCGGACATCGAAACAGCATGATGTTATCAGACTGGTACATATAGGCAGGTGGAGATTGGAAGGAGGAACAGAAGGAAGGAGGGAGAGAGAGAGAGAGAAAGAGAGAGAGAGAGAGAGAGAGTGGGGTGGAGATTGGGGAAGGGGTGTGGGACGGAGGCGGAGGGAGAGACAGGGAGAGAGGAGAAACAAAGGAGGAAGAGAGGTAAAGAATAAATAAAAATAAAAAACGAAAATGCAATAAATTTGCAATAATAATAATAATAATATTTTTTTTTAATTCGTGGGAACTGCCCCCTACCCTAGCCCCCGCTGCGTACATTCATGGTTCAGTGGCCAAGCAATGGCCTCGTAACTGTGAGGCCCCAGGATCAAAACCGTGTCGATGTGCCATTTTAGTGCCCTTTTGTGGGGCATTAATCCTCATTACTGTCATTTATGACTTAAGTGCGTAGTAGCATAGTAGCATACACATGCTTTAGCAGTCACGCAAAACAAACACTGGCAAATTATTATTCAATAAAATATCAAGATCTATTAGGAATAAATAATAATTGTCAAAATAATTCCATAAATTGGGGTAAACAAAAATATTCCAACTATATAAGGGACAGAGTACTTTGAATTTGACCGGAAGTTTTACCTTCAAATCATTGTGCAGCCTCTTCCTGCTGTGAAGCTCGTTCATGCCATGACAGACGTCGATGGCGATGTTGATCCACGTCTCCTCCCCTTCGACCAGGTCATGATAGACGAGAGCGCGGGACACCGAGCATGTCCTCCCCGTCTTCTGGTCGCCGACGAACTCCATGGCGAGCATAAAGTGATTTCGGGAGAGTCTGATCAGTCCGTAAAACCGTGGGAAGAAGTCAGAGCCGACCACGGCTGCGAGCTCGTGGGCTTCGTGTTGTATCAGACAAGGGAGAGCGTGGGATGACGATATACCGGAACCGAAGACGAAATTCTTGACGGCGATGGGCTGAAGGGTCTTTCTGTACCTGCAATATCAATGAAACTAGGTGAAAGTGCACAACTCCGTATCTAAATACACTTTAAAAACTGAAAGACTGAGATTGTAAATGAGAATTGCATATTCACATTCGCAGCAAAAAACATAAACGAACAAGTAAAACAAATAAAACAAAACAATACTTCTCAGCCCAAACCTCCCTTATGATTCCTGCACTGGAAAAGAAGAAGAAAAAAATCGCCATAAATATATAATTTGGTTAAAATAATGTAAAAAGTGGAGATCGTTTTTTTTTTCGGGGGAAGGGTTATTGAAAAAATTTCGGCTAATTTGTCGCCAAGTTGTGTTAGATACCCACCCGAACGCAACTAGGCATGATGAATAGGTGACAACTAATAATTATACAACTTGAAAGTGAAAGAAGAAAGGGTTTTGGACAAAGACTTAACAAACACAATTTACCGACATATCCATCCAATGACTGTTTAGCAAAACAGTCTCTCCATAGTTGCAAATGTCACAAAATTAAGACAATAATATGCCTTTCAAAACTTAAGTAAAACATTCACGAGGTCTTCATTTTCATTTGTGTGGCATTTTCATTCTTTTTCTGTTCTTAGTTTTAAGGGTAAATCAAATTTAACTGACCTGAGTACGTTGACTTGTCCATAAGAGCCA